ATCATGGTTCACAGTAGACAGGAGTGACTTTCTTGGAGTCAAGAATATGTGGAATTTAGCCGGGGGGCGCCGGTGGCTCACGCCTGTAATCCTAGCTACTCAGGAGGCTGAGATGTGAGGATCATGGTTCAAAGCCAGCCCAGGCAGGAAAGTTCGTGAGACTCTTATCTTCAATAAACTGCTAGAAAACCAGAAGTGGTGCTGTGGCTCAAGCAGTAGAGCACTCGCCTTGAGCGCAAGGACAGTGTCCAAGCCCAGAGTTCAAACCCCCTTTACGGACAAAAATAAAAAAAGAGTATGTGGAATTTATGTTCTTGTGCTTGCTGTTTCACTTAAATTTTTTTGTTATTATAAAGATGATGTGCAGAGGGGCTACCGCTACACAAATCTGGTAAAGAATACATTTCTTTTTGGACAGTGTCACCCCTTTCCTGGCCCTATCCTGGCTTGTTTCTTTAGTGCTCTACTTTCCCCTATCTGCCTTTGCTCACAATGCCTCCCATCTACTACATTATTCCTCTTCTTTCACTGGTCTTCAGGAACACCTCCAATCTATGTTGGTTCCTGAGGCTTAGGTCCAATTTACTTTCTTGCATTTATTACCTATTTACTGAAAGCCCAATGTATGCCAGTCCTGGAACAGCCAAAAGGAACAAAGCTGTGGTCCCAGGCTTGCAAAGTGGCTGGTGAAGAGAAGAGCCAGACAGACAAAGGAACAGAGAATGATATTCTCCAAATTGTTGGAGAATGAATGTCAGCTGTAGACCTGTTAAGAAAGCAGATTCTCAGGCCTCTCCTGAGATTCTGATAGAATGGGTTTGGTTGAGGCACTGAAATTTGCTTTCAAATGATTTACAAGTGGATATGATACAGTCAGGCCAGATATCTGGCTTGGAGAAGCAGTCTTTTAGTGTTAAAATGAGATAAAGACAGAGGAGCCCAAAGGGGCTCCCTCAGCTGGAATGTGTGCCATTAAGTCCAGAGTGGCTCCAGGTTCTCCAAGTAGAACATTTTTATTGGAGGACACTCTGCATGATGGTTATCTGTGGATATGAGTTACCTTTCCCACTGCAGAGGGTCACTTATCCCTGGGTTCCTATTACTACAGCACAAGTTCTGGCACGGCACACAGCAAGTGCTCAGGTTTACAAAGCTGTATTCTGGACTAGGGAGCTAGTTTGAGGGTCCTGGACCATCAGTTCTTTGGCCTTTATGATGTGTTCAGATTGGCTTATGTAAGCTTGTGTTTGGGAGCAGTAAAGGACACTGGTTTGAGTTTGACTGTTGTTACCAGTCTCTAAATCAGGCATTTGGGTATCAACTTCATCAGCAGTCAGGATGAGATTAAGGAGAGTGGATCAATTGAGATGTTTTCTCCTTAGAGACTGTGAAGTTTCTTAGCAACAGGCTTGATTCATGCTTGAAGGAGGAAAGGGGACAGGGCCAAATGATTAAGAGGTTTCTTGTGCTGGCAACAAGACTGCTTCCTGTTTCTAGGCCCAAAGAAGGCCCCCTTTCCTTCCTTGGGCCCATTGAGGCCCCTCTAAGGACCTGTTAGTTAAACATCTGGCATGAATCCAGTTCTGCCAGGGGCAGGCTGGCTGCTGTTTGTTCCCTTTTATTAAGCACATCTAGGTGAGTTTTATTGCGGACAGTTCCCTGGGCTCCTGTTTCCACATTTGTCTCCTTTGAATCTGAGATTGCCAACGGCTTTCACAGCTAATGGACCTTACAGCTCCCAAGAGCCATTTAGGGGAGGCACAGAGCTCAAGGGTGGTAATTAGTCAAAGGAAATGCAGACCTCAGGACACCCACTGGAGCTGAGTGGCAAAATGTGAAGATGTAGGGATAGGAGGCTCAGGCCTGTGGCAGGTGTAGAGAGCTTCAGCTCAGTCTTCTTCCTGTCCCCTGCCCCATCTCCACTTCCTATTCTTCACCAGGGAAGGCCTCGTTGGTGCTAGGTGGTAGTGTCCTAAGGCTTGTATTCTGGAGCATCTGAAAGGCTTCAGGAACACTACTGAGCTGCCATGACAAGCTACTGCTTCCTTTTATCCAAGTCTCACTTTTTGATTACTTTTTATTTTTAAAAATGCTATCTTTAGGTAGTTGTACAAAGGGATTTCACTTCAATATATCAGTTTATGAGTACAGTATATCTTGATCAGTATTATCCCTTTCATCATCTCCCCCATCTCTCCCAACCGAGCCCATCCCCTCAAATTACCTAGTTGCATTAATATATATATATATGTGTGTGTGTATATATATACATATATATTTATGTATATATAATGACTGTATTTTCCCACTCTTTCTTCTTCCATTCATCTGCCCCACTATCCTTTACCTCCCTCTTCCTGACCATGTTTCTGTTTCTTGGTATTTATTTTGTTAAACTTTTAGTTACTTGTTCAGAGAAGTTACACCATGGCAAACATATCTTGCATATACCATACTTTAGACAGCATGTTTTTATATGTATGAATAGGACCTTGAATATGTTTTCATATGTGTTTATAATTTAGATCTAACTTCCACATAAGAGTGAAAATAGGTGCCATTTGTCCCTGAGTCTAACTTAATACTATTTTTAAGTCTATGCATTTTCTTGTGACATATTATTCTTCCTGATGGATGATTAAAATTCATATGTATATATATATTCATATACACACATCACTTTTGTTGAGCCATTCACCTGTTGTAGGACATCTGGGCTGTTTCCATAGCTTGGCTGCATGGAATAGTACAGTAATGAACCTGACTGTGTAAGTATAAGAATATTAGAACTTTCTGAAAGAGAAAGGCAGAAACTTCTTGAGTAGAATTCTGAGGGGTCAGCAAATAGGAGAAAAAAAATTGCCGAATAGGATTGTATAAAGCTAAAAAATCTGCACAATAAAGGACATAGTTATTAGAGTAAAAAGACAGCCTACAGAATGAGAGATCTTTGCCAGCTCTATCTGACAAAGGCCTGCTACCCAGAATATACAAGGAGCTCAATTCTAAATTCCTAAAGAATCAACAACCCAACTAATATATAATATAAATCATAGAGATTTATATTAGATATTTCTCAGAAGAAATAAAAATGGCCATGAATGGTACATGAAGAAATGTGTAACATCTCTGTCAATAAAGGACATGTAAATCAAAACTAGAGAGAGATTTCATCTCTCTCTAGTAAGGATGGCCATCATCCAGAATAAAAACAATAAATGCTGCTGGGGATATGGGAAAAAGGAACTCTATTACACTATTGGTGAGAATGTAAGCTAGTATAACCACTATGGTAGACAGTTTTGAGATTTCTCAAAAAATGAAAAATAGAAGAGTGAGGGAAGGGGTGACATTGTCCAAAAGGAAACGTACCTTTTACCTGGCTTATGAAACTATTACCCCTCTGTATATCACTTTTGTCATAACAATAAAAATTCTTGAAATAAAAATAATTAAACATAGAACTAGCCAATGATCAATGATGCCAGTCTTGGGCATTTATCCAAAAGTTACAAGTTAGGATACAATAAAGACACTGGTACAACCTGTTGTTTCTTGATAAGTTTTGAGATCATGTTCCACTCTCAAGAGGAGGCAAGATGTTCTATTAAAACCTATGCCCTTAGCTGGGAAGGTGGCTCAGCGGTAGAGTGCTTGCCTTGCATGCATGAGGTCCTGGGTTCAATTCCTCAGCACCACGTAAGCAGAAAAAGCCGGGAGTGGTGCTGTGGCTCAAGTGGTAGAGCACTAGCCTTGAGGTGAAGAGCTGAGGGACAGTGCCCAGGCCCAGAGTTCAGGCCCATGACTGACAAAAATAAATAAATAAAACCTATGCCCTGGGGCTGGGAAGGTGGCTCAGTGGAGAGTGCTTGCCTCATATGCATGAGGCCCTGGGTTTGATTCCTCAGTATCACATAAGAAGAAAAAACTGTGGCACTGTGGCTTAAGTGGTAGAATGCTAGCCTTGAGCTGAAGAGCTGAGGGACAGAGCCCAGGCCCAGAGTTCAATTCCCATGACCGGCAAAGAACAAACAAATAAATAAACAAAAGCCTATGCCTTGAAGCAAGACAGATCCATTGGTACAAATTCCAAATCCAAGACTTATGGAGTTAATCATCTAAGCTAAGTCAACAAACTTTTGTTGCCATTTTCCTTTTTGGAGAATGAGGATAATAATTCTGACCTCAGAAGGTTGTTGTAATGGACCAGTGGTGTAGTCTCATATGTACTCTTCTTAGTTAGGAGCCTGGTACCCTATAAGCACTCACTAACCAGAATCTATTAGTATCAAAAGGGATCTGACAGGGGCAGAGCTGGAAAATGGAAGTCTGTGTCTGGTATTTGTGTACACACCAAGCTTGAATGTCTCTGGGAGAGAGCAAGGTTTTTATAGTAGCAGTTCTTTTTCTATGGGGGAGATGGTGGAGGATAAGATGGGGGAAAGAAAAATCGTTGAGCTCAGATTGCTGCTAAAACCAAATATGTGAAGAGGAAGTCAACATTTGTGGGCATGTCTCCTAGCTAAGGCAGTACCTTCTCTATCTCCTTTACTTCCCTCAACATCCTGCTGAAGTGTGAGGGAATCATCTCAGAGAGACTAAGTGACTAATGCTAAGTCATAAGGCATTGAAGAAGGAGCCAGAATTAGAGCTCAGGTTGTGATAACTCTAAGAGATTGTCCTTTGTATGACATTTGGCTGTGGCAGATGATTAAGGCTAGGCTCTGCACACCTGGTTTGACATTTGCTATGTAGAAAGGCCAAGAGAGGTTGCTGATCTCTGCTGGAGTCAAAATCAAGGCCCTCTACTTCCCAGTGTAGGTAATTTGGGGGATAGGGACTCATCATCAAATTGTCTCTGGCTCCACAAGGAATCTGAGGTATTTTGAGAAGCCACAACTGGCTGTGTGTGGTGTTGGGTTTCTAGGGTTTAATCTTATTACTGTCGTAAACTGTGGTACCCTCTCAGGATGCACCAAGCTCTTTCTCTCCCTCTGCAGGTGGATGGTGTTTTGTGCTTAGCCGACATTTTGACCGATGACAGCCACTCAGAGGCCACTCGGGCTGAGGCTGCAGCTGTGGTAGCCCAAGTCACCTCCCCACACCTGGCCTTTACTCAGCACCTCAGTAGCTTCCTGGAGAGCATGGAAGAGATTGTGACAGCCCTTGTCAGTGAGTCACCCTGGGTGGGTGGGGCCCTTGGTTGAGAGGACTGCCAAATAGTTGAAGGCCCAAAAGGTCTTCCTGTCTTGCTGTTCACCAAACCCATAATCTATGTAAGTTAGCACACTAGCTGAAACACTACCATTATTGGATCAGAGTCAGGATTTAGAGCTTTATTGTCAAGAGAGTGCTATTAAAAATGCATGTAGCCATCTGAAAAGCAACTTGAATTGGGTTTGGATTGAGATTAAATGAGCTTTTGGAAGGAGTTTAGGATAGGGGATTCTAGGATAGAATTAAATGACCTTTCTGAAGGAGTTTAAAATAGGGGAGTCTAGGGAGGAATGAAGCCCCAAAGATTCTAAGGTCTCAGCTATCAAGAATCAGAGCATTAATGACTAGAGAGATGATTTCTACAGCTTATCACAATCTCCTGTGGAAAATTCCACCATTGACATTTCCACGTAATGGAGTCATAAAATCATTGATTCTTCTAAAGCTCTATTCAGACATATGTACTTTGGGCCAAAAAACAAACAAAAATCATAGTTTGATGACTAGAATATACTCTTTTTTCTGGTTTCCTTGTGATAAATTGCAGAAACTAGAAGGATTTGACTGGATAATAATCCTTAGGAAACTTATTTTTAAAATCACGTCCTTTCTTTAAAAATACCAGTAGTGCTCTGCTGAGCACTGGTGGCTCATGCCTGTAATCCTAGCTACTTAGGAGGCTGAGTTCTGAGGACTGCAGTTCAAAGCCAGCCTGGGCAGCAAAGTCCATGAGATTCTTCTCTCCAGTTAATTACCAAGAAAGGCACAAGTGGAGCTGTGGCTCAGGTGATAGAGTACTAGATTAGAGCATAAAAGCTCAGAGGCAGTGCCCAGCTCCTGAGTTTAAGTCCCAGGATGGGTACACATATACACACAAAGTATTGGTAGTGACCTGCTTCTAGTTCTATTTCTATCTTTGCCCCATCTCTATATCTACATCTTAACAAAACTGAATGAAAGAAAACTTAGGGTTAGCTCTTAGAGTCACCATGCCAGGAGATACTAGGAACAGTTTTCACTGAAGGGCAGCAGAGACCACTGGAGTAGGAGCTAGAACATTTGCGTTTAGGTTCATCCATTCAGCAAATACCTATTGACTAGTGACCCCAGGAGGGGCCTTGTTTGGGATTTTGTCATGCACCACATGACATTTTAAGACTGACCTGACAATTTTCCTGATATATACAATAAGAGATCACAGCCACTTTCCTCAAAGGATTTCTAGCTCTTGGATTTTCCATCTGCAAGTACTTTACACATGGGAGATGCTAGTTAAGTTGACTTTATGGATGATTCTGGCCATAGAGACAGTGGCACTCTCACTGGCTAAGCTAGGATAAATTGTCCTTCCAATCTCCACATTGATTCAAAACCAAGAAACCATGGAAGGCAGTTGTAGAGATCCTAAGCTGGAGGGGACTCAGGAGCCTTAGGCTGTAAGAGAAGCTTAGGGCAAAAGAGGTAGAGGAATGATCATAAGACTCCACAGTAGTTTTAAGATTCACCGTGCCAGGAGTCTTGTACCACTGGAGCCTGGCAGGAACAAATGAGTTGAAGAAAGTCCAGAGGAAGACCACAGTAAGGGAATTTGTGTCCTATTTTCAATTGACAAGCAAATGTACTGATGAAAGGAACAGTCATTAATAAACCATAGCTGGTTGTTGTAAGAAACACCTAGAACTCAAATTCTAGATTATACTGGAAAATCTCTCAAATGAAAAATACTATCAAATAATAAAGCAAGTGAACCCAAATCTGAATAGTCCAAAATGACCTATATCTATTGCCCTATGTCTACCCATGCTTCCTTGCCCAAGCTGGCTTTCTCTCCGGAAAAGTGAACTATTCTGTTCTTATTTATTTCATACTGGTGAAGATTCATTGTAGAGTCCCCTATGAGATTCAGCAAATGGAATATATCTTCTGGGCAGGAAGCCAGAGCTCTTGTTCTTTGGTGGGAAATAGCCCTCCGATTTCTTGCCATTCCCTGGAAACATTTATAAATGAGTCACTGGAATCCTTAATTTAATCTTCCTAACACATCCCAGGTGACTCAGACCATAGTTCAAATAAATGTGCAGCAAAATTAAAAGGCACTTAGATGCTTGTACTAATAATTGCTGTGTCGGCAGCAATGGCAACTGCATGAAAATGAGGGGGAATGTTTGGACCAAGAAGAAGTCTTGCAGCAAAGTGGACCGTTGAATTCTATAGTCCATACCAAGGCCTGACTATAAAGAAGTTAGACTGGGACAGGTTGGATGAACCTAGTGGTTCCCTCCAAATCAGGATATGGGGTGATCATTGGATATGAGGAATCATAGAATTCTTAATTCCTTGGCTATGCTATCGTCCCAGCCCTAGGTGGTTAGATCAAGGTTCTAAGTTGCTTAATGGAAGACATGTCTGGGCTGTGGAAAACATCACTGTGCAGTGGTAAGTGTTACTTCCTTGATAGACCTGAAACTAAGTCTGTGGGAGGATAAAAAAGGGGTTGAAATAAGAGGCAGCCTGGAACAGAAAAAAGAACGGGAATTTAGGAGTCAGGCAAATCTTGTTTTGATCCTAGCCTCCAAAAATTTCCTACTGCACAGAAGACCTCACCAAACAGCTTATCATTTAAACTCTCAGTTCTTTCACTTGTAAAATTTTTATAAACACTAGATTATTATAAGGATTTAAAACATATACAATAGTGTCTGGAAAGAACAGATAACACTCAAAAAATGTTACCTGCTGCTGCTAGCTTCTCTGAGACTACAGTACCACATCTGTAAATAGTAATAGTCATTTTCTACTTTGAGGATGTTCAGAATTTAATGTCTCAGTGCAAGATGCACTGCAAATGTTTAACCAGTGTTGTTGCCTTATCATTTTTAGATAGTGACCAATAATTGCACTCACTAGAAAGTGCCAAGCGGTACCAGTGGTAGTATCAGAACCCTGAAGCACAGAATGTGGAGACCAGAACTTGGTACCAGGATGAATACAGTCCAACTCTGTCTCTTGAGCTTTCTTCCTCTCCTGATGGCTATTTTCTGACTCAGTCTTTTCCTCCTGTGATTTTTGTAGCAGAATTGTCAGGAGGAGAGCCCTGGGACTGATGCACATGGATTGGTGATCACGTTTGAGATGAGAGTCAGAAATCAGGTCCTTTGGGATGGGCCGAGTCCATTGGAAGTTCTGAGGCTCATGGATATGTGATAGATGGTTGAGGGATAGAAATTGTCCCACTCAAAGACCCTAGTACAAATAAAATAGTAAATGGGGACATATGCTTAGAACTGAGCTGGTGCCAACTACCATTCAGCGAGTGGATGCAAGACTTTCTTGACCAAAAGGAAATACTCAGGCTCTACAGATAGAAGCTGGAAGGGTAGAGTCTCTGCTTTAACTTTAGCCTCTTTGTTGAGACAGATTTAGTAACAATAGAGGGCACATTATTGGGAAGACACATGAACTGAAAATTCTTTCCTGCTTCACAGCTTTTATACATGCTGTTCTTTTGGCATAGAACAGTCCCTTCTCCAAATATTTCATGACTGGTCCCTTTCCTCCCTTGAGGTCTCAGCTGTAGCATTGTATTAGTAGGGACACATTTCTTATATGTCCCAGTAGATCTCTCTCTATATATCTCTATATATTTATATCTCTATATATCTATATATACACATATATATACACATATATACATATTATAATTTGCATATATATCAGGGTTTTTTTCTGTCAGTCATGGGGCTTGAACTTAGGGCCTGAACACTGTCCCTGAGCTCTAGAGTGTTCAAGGCTAGCACTTGACCAATTTGAGCTAGAGCACTACTTCCAGTTTTCTAATGGTTAATTGGAGAGAAGAGTGTCACAGACTTTCCTGCCTGGGCTGGCTTTGAACCTTGATCCTCAGATATCAGCTCCCTGAATAGCTAGGATGATATAATTATATATTATGTAATAAATGTGTGTGTGTGTGTGTGTGTGTGTGTGTTTCAAGCTCTTTTTCTCTTCCCCACTAATAGAGTATAAATTATCTGACCTGGTCAGGACATGATCTAGTTTGTTCATCATCCCATCCCAAGAGAGCAGGTGTATATGCCACATGGTGTTCAGTAGTCCCTGTTGATGGAACAGTGAATAGGTGTCACACAGTAGGTTTCCTCACAGCTCTGCCATCTGTATAGACAGGTACATTTCCCTCCCTAGTAATATTTTTATCTATAAAATTGATATTATAACACCACCCAAATTATCTCCCAGAGCTATGGGAAGCAAAGGAGATCACTGGTGGGAAAACCCTTGACCTGGAAGCTTTCTTCTTCCCCTCTACCATCCAGAATTGTGCCAAGAGGCCTCATCTGGGGAAGTCTTCCTGCTGGCCTCTGCGGCCCTTGCCAACATCACCTTCTTTGACACAATGGCCTGTGAGGTGCTTCTGCAGCTGAATGCCATTCGCATCCTCTTGGAAGCCTGCAGTGACAAGCAGAGGGTGGACACGCCTTATACCCGGGATCAGGTAAGATGCTCAGGAGGGCCCAGACCACATACCTGTACACTGGGAGGAAGCTAGAACTCAGGTTTCTTGGGCGGAGGGTTGATTGCATGGCCTGACATCTCATGGTCAGTCCTATTAGTGACTTTTCTGACATACTGAGCCTTGCATTCTGTAGGAGAGTAAAAGAATAATCTCCTAACATCTCTTATTGACTTTGCTGTCTCTTTAGGACTTCCCAAACCACTTTGTTCAGCTCAGCCATTACAGGGTCTTCCTCTGTCTCCATTCATATTACCCACTCAGAGGCAGAAAAACCTGTGGCCAGGTCCCGGAACGCCTGTGTTTCAGGCATGTTGATACCTATCTGACATTGCACCATCACTCTGACATTCTGAGATTTTTATCCCATCCTGCCCCTATCTACCCTTGGCCTTCTCTCTCCCCATCAACGGTATCATGGTAGTGCAACAGGTTATATATAAAGTCTGTAAATGTTGCCAGATACCCAGGTTATAAGTTAGATGATCTCTCTACTCAACCCAGCTCACCCCTGCCAGGATATAGTATTCCAGTCCCATCTGTTTCTTACAGATTCCTCTCTTAGCTGAAGTTGTCTCTATTAATAGTCTATCTGTTTCCCCAGCAGCTTAAGGAAAGCCTTCAGCCCTCTGCAATTGCCTCCTTCTCGGAGAGTCCATACCTCCTAATGAAATGCTGACTGATCTAGGATATACTTACTCCTCCTTATGTCTTATATGAAATTCTCCCTAAAGGCAGGGACCATGTTCTGTACTTCTCTGGGTTTCCTTCAGCATTCTAGTCACACCTCTGGACTTGCCTCTGAGCTGGGCTCTGTTTCTCAGCCTCAGGTATTTTTGAGATCTCTCCTGGGAACTCAGAGATCCTTTCAAGCTTCTCTATTCACAGCTGATGCTTTCTTCTTCAGGCAGTGACTTTTATTGACATCATCTCAACCTCCATCTATTTGAGCTGATAGCCTTGGTGAAGTACCCTAAATTACACACATGTGGAACGTGAAGGGAAGAAGCAGGATGGTACTTTATCAGTTGTTTCTTACTCTTAGAATTCGTTGTGGGAAAGGCAGATCTACACAAAGTTCCAATTCAGAGAAAGTCTTCTAGTAGGGCAGCATTTGTCAGTGAGTGTCTAGTAATACTGTGCTGATGATCTTTGTCCCATTTTATAGCTAGGAAAAGCTTAAGAGGATGGCCCTCAAATGCTATGGTTGGCAAATAGCATTTCAATTCTAGCCTAACTTAGACCTTGATATTGGACTTTAAATAGCAGCCATCTCTGGAAATGAAAGGAATGAGGCAGCACAGCTATGGAATCAGAGTATTTGCAGTTCCTGGATGTACTATTTATTCTTTGGGTGAGTTTGAGTAAGTCTACAGCCTCTTGGGTGTGGACTTTTTCATCTATTTTTATGAATTTAATGACAATTACTTTTCTAGGCTTTTGTGAAACTGAGGTAATGAATGCAAGGATTTATTACAATGTCTAGCTCCAAGTAAGTTCTTAATAAATAGTAAATATCATTCTTAATCAAACCCAATACTCTAAGAAAGATAAACAAATGAGTATTCCAACATCCTCAACCTGGACTTCCAAATCAATGCATAATATGCTTTCTTTCTTGTTTCATTTGTCACACGGATTTAATAGGGCCCCGGAAAGACAAGGTATGAAAGTGTGAACGGATAAATTGGAACCGCTAGCCTGGCTGATTCCCAAGGGATGGGGGCTGGTCTGGAGAGATCAGTCTGTGTTCTTCCTTAATCTCATTGCTTCTTCAACTAGATTCCTCCATTTGCTCGGTCTCACCTATCTAACATGCTTTCGAGGCCCTTCACGTTCACATATCTTTCCTGTGACTGAGTCTGGTCATATGAGATCCAGAGGTGAAGTTATAACAACAGAGATTTTGGAGCCAGATGACCTGTGTGCAAAGCATCTCTGCTACTATAAATCATGCCATTTAGGACAATTTATCCAAGTCTTTTTCCACTTATGAAATGGGAACGAACAATGCATATTTTACAAAGTTGATATAAAACTTGGAGGTAACAATGCTTGATAGGAAATGTATTCATTACCTTGCTCATGTAAGTATAACACCTCAGTATTCTTACAATAACAAGTATAAAAAATTGGATAAACTAATGAATAGAGATTCTTGGTACATATCTTGCCATGTATAGGCTATGCTGAAAATGGCAGTGATGTTGCTTATAATGTTACTGCACACAGCCCTGAGTGGGCACCTGCCACATCTGGGAAAGTCCTGTGGCTCTACACACCCCTCACTTACTTCTGCTCATGAGGAATGACTGGCCCCCTCTTGAAGCCTCACTGATCCCAAGCAGGAAGAGAGCCCAGGTAGGGAGAGAGAGCAGTCAGGCTACAAGCAGATAGCAATTCTTCCTGCATCTGGAAGCAGAAGTTTTTTATATCTCTCTGTCTGAGCCAGGCACATCTTCACTGTCCTCAGGATGGCTTCACCTTCTGCCCTGGCTCTGTGCAACCACTTAGCTAGTGAGAGCAGCACCCATTAAAGAAACAAATGGCTCTTCCTATGGCAGAGGGAGGATTAAGGTGATCAGAGGGCTCTCTGTAATGAAGACAAAGAAGATGAATTAGGCTTTGAAGTGCTCTCCACCCCCTGAAATACTTAAGAGATTAAATGCCCCGTGAGGCTTCCCGTAATGAATCTGCCAGTGACGCCAATGTTGCACTGAACCTCTTGGGCTTAGATCTGTACTTTGTCCACCTCTGTTTGGACAGTGAGAACCTTTCCATCATCCTAGTAAACAGTGTCTATTTAAATTGTCCAACAGAAGTCTCACAGGACATGCCTAGCCTGTACCCACCCTTTCAGTGTGGACAGTGGTTAAGCACAGCTTAGACTTGAGCTCTTCCTTTCCTTTCTGCTGATCTAGAGTAGATGGTGTGGACTGTAGCTGATATGGTCACATATCATGTCAGCCTGTCTTATAAGTAATTTGTATGATCCTGTTTTCATGCCCAGGAGGTGTTTCCTAGGGGCTGTGCTTCCTGGGGATCTAGCCATCAGCAGGATGAGAATGAGACTGCCTCTTGACTCTGCCTGTCCATCAGTGGTCACTTGGGATCAAAAGACCTGGTTATCATGTGTAACTCACAACAATGACCTTCTGAGCATAACTTTCAGGACCTTGTGAAACTGTTTTCACTGCGGAGCTGTATATGCTTCCCAGGGAAATCCATTGCCTAATTCACATATTAGAATGATCAGATTTTGTGGCATTTCTGGGACTTCACTGTGGATACCATTTAGCAAGAGTCCATTTATCAGAAATGCTAGTTATTAGGGATTGTACTTTGGCTGGTATTTCACAAGGCCTCTCTAGTTTATGAAATAGGGAGATTGGGTCTGGCTGGCACCATCTTGAATTCATGGTGGGAGAGCATGAAGCCCCCACCTCCCAGGGTAGAGGCATGCCTGAATCCCTGGAGGCAGTGGTAGGGACATGGATGATAGGTTACTAAACCTCTCAGTCCAGGGCCTGGGGCTCAGTTTCCTGTGACCCCGCCCCTTGACGACCCTATTTAGGGCCTGATCAGCTATGACACTATGCCATGGAGTCTCCATGTTCGTGTCTGGTCTCCTGTCTGCCGGCTCTTCTCTGGTCACCATGACATCCCACTTCAGCTCTCCATTGGAGCTGAATTGGTCTGTTGGTATTGCTTTCGTTCTTTCTTTCCTCTCTGGCCTTCATGGCTCCATTTCCTAACAGTATTAAGTGTATTTGCTAGCTTCTTGTCTTTGAAACAGGAGTCTACAATGCAGTGTTGGCCTTTTAAAATTAAGACTCCAGATTCAATTTTTCAAAGTGTGGCTTCTCCATTTTCCTGCCATACAACAATAGAGGCCTTATGGCTACATATAACATAGTACAAATAACACTGAAATGTTTTCCCCTACTAGTTTTAATGTTTCAGATCTCCCATAAAAGTCTTTAACCCATTTCATTAATTATTGAACAGGACAAGAGATAGGAATTTATAAGTAGATGTCCAACATTCCCAGCATCATTTGTTGAAGACTCTGTCTTTTCTCCAACATATTTTTTAATATCTTTGTCAAAAACAATGAGATGATTATTGCAGTATGGATTTATTTCTGGATCCTGTATTATATTCTACTGCTTTACATAACTGATTCTGTGCCTGCCACTATGCTATATTAGTTACTATGTCTCCATTGTATAATTTGAAGTTAGGAATTATGATACCTCCAGCTCATGATTTCTTTGGCTATTTAGGAACTTTTATGTTTCTTATTAAATTTTGGGATTTTTTTCTATTGCTGTGAAGAATATCACTTGAATTTTGATGCAAATCTGTAAATCAGTTTGGTAATATGGCTATTTTCTCATTACTAATCTTGCTGCTCCATGAACAAAGAAAGTTTTTTAAGCTTTTAGTATCTTCTTCAATGTCTTTCTTCAGTGTTTTAGCATTTATATTATAGAAGTCTTTTACTTCCTTACTCAGTTTTATTCCTAGGTATTTTTAGGCTACTGTGAATAGGATTGTTTTATAATACCTATTTATTGTTGGTATATAGAAAACTTCTGATTTTTGTATCTTGTTACTTTGCTGAAACCATCTATCAGATCTAAGACATTTCTATGGAGTGCTTAGAGTTGAATATGAAACAGTGTCAACTGTTTTAAAAGGGATACTATGACTTCTTCCTGTGCACTCTGTGTCCCTTTTATTCTTTCTCTTGCTTTATTGCTCTGGCTGAGAATTCAAGCACTATAGTGAATAGGAGTGGAGAGTTTATACTAAATGCTTTCAACATTTCCCCAGTTAGTATAATGTTAAATACAGGCTAGGAGCCTTCTGTTCTTAGTTTCTTCAGGAATTTTATCATGGGTATGTTTTAAATTTTTTTCTATGGGACTCTTCTCAGTGGGAAGCATTCTCTTGGGGCCAAAATCCCCACTACTAATCAGAAGAGAAAAACGAGATAGCAATACAAAAAAAATAAGTCAGATAAAAATATTGGAAACATCAATTACACCCCCAATAAGTTTAGAAAATAGAGGAGTTAAACTATAAGTTTGAATAAGTATTAAAGCTAAAAATACTAACAACTATATTAATAAAAAAGGAGAAATGGAGAAAAGGGAAAAGAGAAGGAAGATAGCAAAAGTATATAAGATGTAAGTATGATAAATAATTGTAATGGGGCACCAGTGGGTCACCATTGGCTGAGATCCAGAGGATCATGGCTCAAAAACAACCATGGCAAAAAAAATGTCTGTGAGATTCCATCTCTAAAAGTAACCAACAAAAAGCTGAGCTGGAGATGGAGCTTAAGTGGTAGAGTGCCAGCTAAGTGAATAAGCCAAAAATGCATAAGCCCCTGAGTTCAAACTTTGCTACCAGAAAAACAAAACAATGATGGAGAACCCAATAACATAAATATGCATTTATACTATAAATATGCATAAATACTAAATCAAGTCAGGTAAACCAGTTGTCCCTAAAATCCCAGCTGTGGGTCTGGATGCAAAAAAAAAAAATGTTGACCCCTTTCCCCTTTATACCACAGTGCATACAAGCATGTTTCAAAAAGGAGACTCAAAGCAGGGTGTAATTGGCATTTATTCAAATTGTGCTTAATTGACTACTTCATCTGCACCTCAGAAAACCACATGGGGTACAGGCTCTGTAAAGAGGAAGTAATTTTCATTAACAGGATCTAAATTAGTCTGACACAAAGACCTACCTGGTGCCTGTGACACAGCTAGTAATTGCCATGTAATGAAGCTGCAGACAAAGGTTTTCTTTTCTTCCTTTTTTACTTTCTTCATTTCCTCTCACTCTTCCTTCCTCCCTTCCTTCCTCTTCTCCCTTCCTTCCTTCATGAATCTGCATATTAAGCAAATGTCTGTTCAGAGAGGCCAAGCTGGTGGTGATTGGAGCGTAGCCACAAACAACATGGATCACTCAAAAAAAACTATAATCTGACATGGATTTGGCCTTATGTCTTTCCCTCTTAAGACCATACACTTTATGCATCTTAGGGAACCTTCAGTATATTTGAGGCATCTTTTCCCTTTGACTCCTTCTACCCAGCCCACAAACACAATCCAAACATGAGGAGGGGAGCAGAAAAGAATCCTCTAAGAACTGAAACTCTGTTAGTTCAATTAGCTTTCTAAAATGCAAATTATGAGCTTGCTACTCCATTCATAGAGCACTCACTGTTGCAGACTTGACTTCAGGATAATTTCCAGATCTTTCCCCTCTCCTTCTCCTGGCAGTGAACTCTAGTTATGCCTACCTACTCTACTGGGGCTGAGTTGGAAGGGGCTGAGCTGGAAAGGGCTGACACACAGAGATGCTACAGCACCTGGCAAAAGTGGATCTGTCTTCAACCTGTATTTAAGGGAAAACAGAGATAAATGTTCTATAAATGTTCTATTAATATGACAACCTTTTTCCCTTCCATTTAAAAGAAGAAATTTTGGATAATTTATTATCCAGAATGATATGCCAATCTAAAACCAGTTAAAACACAAGACACGTTCTTTCACGGGAAGCAGTTCAGTGCTCTCCAGCTTCAGAGTTGTCCTCTTGGAGACAGTTACTTGCTGTCTCATCCATCGGTGGAAGCGTGGCTCCCACTTATCCCATTCCACAAGCTTGGAAGGAAGTTCTCAGGAATGCAGGTCTGCACCAAGGACAAGTGATTTTATTTTATGATTTTAATGACAATTGTGCATGCTGTCTGCTTCTGGGAAGGTGAGTAATTTTCATACTGAAGCTTGTCTCGGGGCAAGTGTCATGGGTAGTAGTGGTGCTTGGGCGCCCTTTAGAGTCTTGATCCTTTGCTGTTACATTCCATAGTCTCCTTCTATACTGTGATGTTGCTGAGCTTCCTGGTATAGTTTATGAGACTATAACAAAGGCTGACTGTCCACCTTCTGTCTGTATCCCACTACTGAAGACTCAGTACTTCAATGATAACTGACAAATGATGTGCTGCTATACCACAAGCTTGTAAAGGGCAGCAGAGTAGGTTCTTTCTCATCAGATTCCATATGATACTTGATGCTTGGGGTATAAATCTGCCTCTTATGCATGTTTTTCTACTGTGATTTTAGCACACATTAATTTTGAGTTGGAAGTAAGTATGTGTCAGTATGTATAGGGATGGGGTGGGGGATATGTGTCATAGAGAAAATCTGGAATGAGGAAGCCTAATCCAGAGCTGGGGCAAACTTCCAGGTGCTTATGCCGGCACAGAGGAGCTAGAGGCCTCAGGGTTCTGCCAATTCTCTCTGCATTCAAGGGCTGGGGACATGGCGGGGGGAGGGTGCTACATATACAAATACAGCTGGGCTCCCAAATTCACCAGAGTGATATTGATCTCTCCAATAAGATCCTGGGGCTAGAAGAGGCCCACATCCTAGAGCCATGTGCTGACACAAGTCTCTGGGAACTGCTCCTGGGTAGCAGGAGCCCGTGAGGATGGAAGAAAATACCATTAAAGCATAGGCAGAGGGACAGTAAGACATGGTGTAGCTCCTAGCTGGCCTGTGTGTAGAGAATAACATATGGATTGTGATGTTCATTTTCTGTGTTTATCACTTCTTTTTTTCCAGATTGTGACTATCTTAGCAAACATGTCTGTTCGGGATCAGTGTGCCTCAGATATCATTCAGGAGAACGGTATGTCTTGAAGGCAGCTCACCATATGGAACATCAAAGTTTAGGGGACTCTATGACCTAGCATTTACGGAAACACCTGTGTGTATGTAAATAAGTTAAATAAGTACATGTGTCTTCGTGTTTGCATGAGAATATCTGTGTGTGCATCTGCATGCGTGCACATGCGTCTGTGCGCACTGAGCCAAATATACATGTTTGGTTTCCTGGGCTTAAGTTCTAGTGGGAGATAGCCTATGAAGAAGATAGAGACAGGCTGGGAAGGCGGCTCAGTGGTAGAGCGCTTGCCTCGCATGCAGGAGGCCCTGGGTTCGATTCCTCAGCACCACATAACCAGAAAAAGCTGGAAGTGGCACTGTGGCTCAAGTGGTAGAGTGCTAGCCTTGAGCTGAATTGCCCAGGCCAGAGTTCAAGACCCATGACTGACAAAAAAAAAAAAAGAAAGAAAAAGAAAAAAAAAGAAGATAGAGAAGGTCAGATGGGGAAAATAGAGCAGAGAAAGAGGTAAACATGTCCAGGGGTGTGTGTGTGTGTGTGTGTGTGTGTGTGTGTGTGTATGCGTGTGCGCGCGCGCGCATGTGTGTGTGATTTTTTTCGGGTCATAAAGAGAAGGCCAATATTTCATTTTGATCCAAAAAGTAAAAATCTATTCCTACTAAGGCATGCATTCCACCTTTAAATCATTCCGTTCTTTTTCAATCAGGCCTCAATGGGAAGCTAAATTGTTCGGCTGAACAAGGGGGCCTGAGCACCCCAACCTCCCCCTGACAGCATCTCTTTTCCCACTGCTCCCTTGCATTTCCCTTTGTGCTAGGAGTGTTACTAAGGTCCAGGGGAGGTTACGGACAGGGTTGTTGGCTTGGAAGCTGATCTCACTGGTATCAGTCAGAGGACAAGGTGGCTGCCAGGCAGCTGGGAATAGACCTGGTGTGGTGAGGGCTTCCTGTGATTGGGAAATAAGGGAGCAATTAGCAACCGGTTGGAGACCAGGGACACTAATGAAGCAGAGTGAGGTGGGAGGCTGCCTCTGCTCCTATGATCCCCCCTTCTCTCAGGCTGCCCTGCTATCTTAACAAACATGCACTTCCCCAGCCCCCATCACTCTAGGACTAATTGAAAGACATCATTTTGTGTTAATTTCATGTGATTGAACTAATAATGAGAAACTGCACTGAGCCAGCTGAGGCCACGTGGAGAGGCTGTGTGGTGCCATTTGTGTGCTCCTTCTCGAGTGGCTGAGGGGAGCAGGTCTCCACTAGCCTGTGTGTCTGATGTTGGAATGTCTGGCGTCTGTAGAGGGCTTTATGGTTACAAAGTGCTATTGACTGATTCACTCAGTCCACAGTTACTGACATGTATTGTGTGCCTGGCATTGTGCTGAATATTAAGGACATAGAGTTAAATAGGTCCCTGCCTTTGCTCCACAGGGTTTCCTGGTCTAGACAGAGAGACTGCCTTGGTGAAAGTGGTACTGTAGTAGCAGGGTAACACTGACAATGGAGGAGTGCCAATGAGGGAGAATGGCTTGGTGGCTAAGAGTGTGAAAAGCAGAACTTTGTTGTATGTCCTGGTTCTGAGTTTTGCTAATAGCAGGGTTAGTTATCCTTTTCTATCTGCAAAACGAGAACTAGCTCAATGCCTGCCTGACAGGGATGATAGGAGGATGACCACAAAACCTGTTAGGTGTGTCTGTCAAGAATAAGCCCTTTGAGCACACATGTGAGTGTGCATGCATGCATATATGTGTGCTGGGGCTTGAATTCAGGACCTGTGATGCACTGTCTCTTAACACTTTCATTCAAGGCTGGCACTCTACTACTTGAGCCACAGCTCTGCTTCTGGCTTTTTTTGGGGGGGTTACTTAATTGGAAATGAATCTCCCAGACTATGCTGGTTTTGGACCTCAATCCTCAAATTTCAGTCTCCTCAGTAGCTAGGATTACTGGTGTGAGCCATTGGCACCCGGCAGAAACAATACAGTCTTTTAAGCATTTAACTGAAGGGAATTTCATGAAGGAACTACTTATAACTATTTATAAAAGTGGGGCAGGATTTGAAGGATCAACAGTGGTAGTGACAGAGGCTACTAGAAGCCAGTAGTACTTCTTGGACTGGACAGGGCCAGGCCTGTTGTACAAGTGGGCTTTAAAGCTCATGGTTTGTGTCCCAGGTTGCAAACCTAGATGCTTACCAGATCCAGTCTGATGAAACAGAAAGGGATAAGATGGACTCAAGCAGGGACGAGACTCATTTCATTAAGAATCATAAGTGTACACTTCTTAAAGCACAGAAGTATGAGTCGCATGTTTATTAAATATGAGCCTACTTTAATTTAGAAAATAGTGGTATAGAAATCAGAAAGCTAGATTTTTATGGAAATCTCCAAACTTGCACACAACAAAATTTAATTTTTTTAAAAAGTAATGTGAGGTTTAAAAAAAGCAAACATATCTTTGGGTTATGGTTTAAATTTGGCAGGTACCACTGAGCCCTTAGAATGGCTCACACAGAACAGAACTGGACTTTTGCTATAAACCCACAGAAATGGAACCACTTAGACCAATGAGAGAAAAGGACATCACTTGCAGAAAAAAAGGGCAGCAGAGGCTGCCCTTGGCTATGGTATGTGGACTAACTGGAGGACAGGTCTGGTTTGGAGAGACATGGTGGTAAGCTTCTCAGCAAATTGAATTCAAACCTCAATCTACATTCTTGAGTCACTCTAAAGCATTTGATTTAGTAGTGGTCTAACTTGGGCATTAGGGTTACCTTTGTCCATAGGACTCATCCCCTCTGGAACTATAACGTATCATCAGAGCATCAGAGGCAAAGAGGTGATGGGTGGTACCCAGTTCTCTGAGTTCCAGTACCAGCTCCCACCCATTGTGGCACAGGGAAAAAATGCTTTCCCTCTCACTGGGTCTCAACATGGATTTATAATAGTATGCCTACCTCTTGAGGTTATTAGGAGGTTTGAGAAATTGGGCATTTAGCACAGCAACCACCACACATATAAAATAAATAACAGCATTAGAAAATGAGGATGTGTTCCAGATGTCCTCTCCAAGTATGGTGTATGAAATAAGACACACAAAACGGAGTAGAAGAAAAGAGGTGGCCTCGTCCAGCTTACATTCCCTTGTATGGGATCTCTTCTAAGGCTTTTCTTGACCCCTGTGGGCATCTGTCCAGCTAGCCCCAGGGCTAAGTCTCTTTGCTGAAGTGGACACCAATTGTTCATTGTTTTCTGCTCAGGGATCCAGCTCATCATGGGTATGCTCTCTGAGAAGCCAAGGTCTGGTACACCTGCTGAAGTAGCAGCTTGCGAGAGAGTCCAGCAGAAAGCTGCAGTGACCCTGGCCCGTCTCAGCCGAGACCCAGCTGTGGCCCAGGAAGCCGTGCGTCTCAGCTGTAAGTGATGCTAGCTGTGGTTGAGTGGAGTGGGGAGCTTCTGGATGGTAGCAGCTCTGGACTGGCTCTGGACATAGGGCTAGCTGGGGTGAACTCCGTTCTCTGAGTGCTGAGAAATTCTGGTTTAGAGGGTCTAGTTTGTAACCTGGGGCTGAGGCAAGAGAGGCCTAGAGAGGTAAAAGTTGGCCATAACAATGACTCACTTTCAGATTCCTTGTTAATTTGGACCCCATTCTTTCCTTCCTGCTTTTAATTTATTTATTCACTTATGCAGCGAATTTATCTCCTCAGTCATTTACTTATTCACTCATCTGTTCATTTACTCATTAAAGAATTCATTATGTTTACTGTCTGTTATTTTATTCACTAATTCAATCATTAACCATTAGTCACTTTTTACCCCACAAATATTTTCAAGGCACTCACTTTATGCTAGGTTCTTTACAGTACCAGGTATATAACAGACTCATTGGGATGACGATATGGAAAAACACTATCTGCACTTGAGTATCATAGAAATGATACGCAAAAGCACTTTTGGCAGACAAGAAAAGTAGATCATGTTACTCTAGGTGGGTCAGAGAATATTTTAACAATTCTTCACTCTGGTTGGTGGTAACCTTTTCTCAGTAAAACCCTAGAAAACATTACGAGAGTCTGTCATTTTCTATAATTTTAGCTCCAATATATTTTCTGACTGAAATAGGCAATCAATATATTATACACAATATATTTTATTAATATATTAATATGATATGTAAATATGTATCTGTCGTGTGCTGGTAAAATTAAAATACTAACTAGAAGTTCCTTTTTAGAGAGATAGCCTATATCTCTACTGTGACTTATCAAAGTTTTTGTCAATGCCACTTGTGGCTTTGGTTTTGATGTTCTAGCTCTTCCTGCCCTTGATTAGATTCTTTTCACAGCTGAGTAAGTAGAAAATCACTACCACATACTTAGAAAGACTGGGGGACGATGCAGGTCCTGTGTGTAAGACAGGGCTTGTGCCTCCCCTATCCAGGCCTGAAACTCTTGCTGTGTCTCGCACAGGCATGTCCCGTCTCATTGAGCTCTGCAGATCCCCATCAGAGAGAAACAGCAGTGATGCTGTGCTTGTGGCCTGCCTGGTGAGTTTCTCGGTCTGCCCCCCAGCTTTCCAATGGCCTTTGACATTACAGACCAGAGAGCTGGGAGAGCTGGCTATGCTCTAGTTGGCTTTGGTATACTTCAACCACTCTCTGAATGTTTTAACCTGCATCTTTAAGATGGTGAGTATTACAGTGCTTCTTTCTCCTAATTAATAAAATTGTGACCAAAACTATATGAGGTCATATATGTGAAAGATGAGGATTGAGAAACTATCTCACGATCCCACCACTACAATCTTAGTAAACTTTTGTGTTCTGGGGAATCTTATCAACACAGCAAAGTCAGAGCTGTTAGCTTTGAGATGCTGCTAGATGGTGAACTGGCATTTTGAACCTTACAGGACATAGGAACCAGATAACATGGGATCCAGAATATAGCTATCTCCTGCCTAGCCTAAAGTGGACATTGTAAGAAAAACCTCCTCTTTCTCTTAGGGAAAACCTCTCTACTGGGTTCTCCCAGCATTGCATAGCTCTACCATCTTTTGTGGGCTAAGAGGGGAAGGAACTTGCCAGGATGGGGAGGATTATTCAACTATTCACTGGGATCTTTACCTTGAACCTAAGCAAATGCATCCTGAGAGGTTTCCACCCAACTTTCGGATGGTAGGAGTCCCCCAGGAACTAATCAACAGTATGTCTATATACTTCTCCTTATGGGACTGTAAGGAGTACCCGAGCAGAACAGTTGAGTAGCCTCTATCAAGTAGCAGGGAATTCATTGGATAAACAGGGCTGTTGAACTTTCAGAAGAGAGCACCAGATCATTGGTCCTCACTGGACACAGGAAGAGGTAATGAATCTCAAGGTCTTTCCAGCTGGTTACAGTAAAGCCTTCTCCTCATCTTATTTTAATTGGGCTCATCTCATTTATGGGAGTTTCTGATGGTGCTTGTAGAAACAACAGGGCATCACACACACACACACACACACACACACACACACACACTCACAGACCTGTCCTGGTTTTACATTAGTGAGCTGTGTGACATAGAGCAAGGCAAAGTGTTACACATTTTATTCAGTAAGCATTTACTGGATGACTTTATTTGTCAGTTATGCTTCTAAGCTATGGGAATGTGACTATGGAAAAAATGTCAGACTAGTTGGTTAGTGGCTTTCATTCTGGGACATATAGGATGATCTTAACATGTTTTGTGCCTTTAGACTTCTGGTGAAGTTGATGGACTTCTCAGAATATTTTTTAAATGCATGAAGTAAAATAGGTAGAATTAAATAAAAAGGAATATGGTTATATTAACACAAATTTTCAAATATTTAAACACATGCCATTTTTAACATGTGCTCTTTTTAATGGTAAATGATATTTGTATGTTCAATGTGTGTGATGGGATATGAAAATATTTGTGACATCTGCTAACAAGGCCAGAGGCTGCTAAATGTTCATGGTATGCTGCTACATTCACGATGGAAGAAAATGCTAAGTTTCAATTTGAAGTTAGCGAAAGATGGAATTTCTTCTCATTCAAGATCAGTGAAATACAGGGAAATCTGTAGTTGACAAAATTGTGATTGTTTGCCCTGCCTACCATTATTTTCACCACTCAGGCAGACACAGATACTTATGGGGTAGACTGAGGAACGTCAGTGGCTTGGAAAGTACTTGGGAAACTTGAACTTCTTTTTAGATGCGAGATTCTTATGGTGGTCATTTAGTTTGACGATGAGCACACAGTAGGATTCAGCCCCTATATTGAATCACTGGAGGGACTTCCAAGGGAAAGAGGATGCCATTTACCCTAGTAGCTGAGTTGGCAGATGCTGAAGAGAGCCCCTTCCTTCCTAATGTATCCTCCATGTGGCTGCTAGAATCTTCCATGTTCCCCACTATCTTCAGGTTCCTATCTACCCACTCAGCCCTCCCCACAGTGTGGCTGTGGTCTTTTTCTGAGGTCTGAAGGCCTTACCAATATGCCCAGCTCCTGTCCCACTCTGTCAGGCTACAGGTTTTCTACATAGCACCTTCTCCCTTCATACAAGAAATGTCTTCATACAACTCCGTTTTTTAAAACCCTGCTCATCCTTCATGGGTGAGACCCAAATCCTTTCCTCCATGAAAGATTTTTCCAGAATTCCTGTATGGTGCAGACAAGGAGTTCAGAGTACTTACCTGGTTCCTTTGCTTCTAGATTTTGTCTTACCTGTCTATATATATCTTCGAGGCTCTTAGAATTCAAACACAGGCCTATTCAACTCTGGAAACTTGAGTGTTTTGACCAGACCATCTTTGTTTCGTGCCATAGTCTTTTTTTTTCCTGTTTTCTTGTTGCTCCATCTCACTATTTTGACTCATGATGGAGGATTTATCTCCTTTCAAATTCTAGCTTGGAAACTTCCTAGCTCTTTGGAGATCCATAGTAACTTAAATGTGATCACTGCCTGATCTTGGGATTCTCAGAGTTGACCCCTGCTTCTGGACACCAGTGTTGACTTGGGGGTGGGGGACAGCGGTGTTTATGGCGTAGCCCAGAAGGAATCCAACACTGGCAGGTAGTTTCTAGGCTGATGACAAGGGTGCCGCTTGGGGCCTGGCAGATGGAGTTGGGAGCTGCCTTTTGTGCTTTTTTTCCAGGCCTTTTCACAGTCTCAAAGGCTGTCTTCAGGTGGGGGTAGAGCATTTCAATTATTGTCTCCTGTGTCTGGGAAAGTGGCAGTGCAGATTGCCTCTCGCAAACAGAATTGATTTTTCCTTAATGAAGCAGCTGTCAGTGTGGTAGTGGGCTGTTTAATACTTGGGTGTTTTGGACTGTCTTAGGAATGAGATTCTGAGATGACTGTCTGTTAACCCTCCCAGCAAAGTAGAGAGAACAAGGCTTTGGAATAATACAGAGTTGGGACACTGAATCTGGGGTGCTTTGAGTTGACTGGGGTTCATGTTAAGAAGACTTTCTGGGGATCCTGAGAAGATGTAAGCGACTATTCCCTTTCTGTTTCTGTGTTTTAGTTTTTTCTTTCCTTTCTTCCTTCCCTCCTCATCTTCCCTCCTTTTCTTCTTTCCTCCTTCCCTCTCTCCTCCCTTCCTCCCTTCCTTCTTCTCTTTCTTCTTCCCATCCTTCTTTCTGGGATTATTTCCTCTTTTAGGTTGCTCTTGTTTTCTTCCTCTCCTTCTTCTTATGCTTCTCATATGTTTCTCCCCACCTCTACTTCTTCCTTTCCTCCCTTCTTCTTCTGCTCCCTCTCTTCTAGTACCCATCCTCCCTAAGACCGTGTTCTCTCTCTCCTTGTCAGTACTTTTCTTTTTACTTCTCCATCTCCTTTTTATGCCTGATTTTTTTCACTATGTTCATCTCTGTCTCCATTTTAATATCTTCTTCCTGTTTGGTTCCTATATTTTTGCTCTTTTTCTATGTACTCTCTGTCTGCCTGTTTTTATCTGTGTCTCTGTCTCTCTTTGTCTCTCTCTATATATCTGCCTGTCTGTCTCTCTCTCTCTCTCTCTCTCTCTCAGTAGAACTACAGTATCTCAGAGCCTCACATTTTCTGGGCAGGTACTCTACTTTTACCTCACACCTCCAGTCCCTTTTGCATTTTGTTTATTTTTTTAGCTAGGATCCTTTTTTTTCACTTGAGGGCATCAGACATTGATCGTCTACCTATGCCTCCCATGTACCTAGGATAAAAGCTGTATGCCATCACGCTTGGCCTCAGTTGCTCTCTTGATAGACCTAGTTTCTATTTTTTAAAGCTCTTTTTGTACTTCTCCACTTTACTTTTACCCATGATTATGCAAAATGCATGGACATCCTTTGTAGTCTTATGTTCAGAATGCTACTGATTCCATTTTCACTTTGACTTCTCAGGGAAAATGGGATTATTGTCTTCAACTGGGGCCAAGAGAAATAAGAAAGTTCTATGAGTTCAGCCTCTGTTGGCCTTGGTATAAGTCAGACCCCAGGAGAAGCGAGACATGCTAGTCTAACAATCAAGGGAAGCTACTTCTTGTCACGAATGTCTCAGACCTGCTCATGTACACAGAGACACATGATCTTTCTCCTTGATCTAGGTTAGATATGACACCTATGATTCCAAAACCACCTCAAACAATGCTCTCTTTCACTTCCTTAGCCTGATTTCTCTTGCTTTTTTCTCAATATAACATTAGCTCATGTTCTAGGATTGTAACATCCTTTCTAGGTAGGGATGGCTGCTCTGGAGGTAAATGCAGGACTACTTTCTCTTTTCTGAGCCTGTTTTCTTATCTGTAAAGTGTGGAGATCATGATACCCTTTAGCATCAAGTAGGGATTGAATTGAGATACTATGTGGCATTCTCTTCTTTGTTCTGCCATTCTAGATAGTCTACCAAGCATTCTTTTTTTCTATGGTGGGCAAGGAAGGGGCTGCCCATCTCCTGCTGTGTGTTTCAGGAAGAGACAAGGAATTCATGTCCATCCAGTATTTCTTTTGTTTTGACTCACTTAACTGCTGTGTAGTGCTAGGCAGCTCCAATTTATAGTTTCAGATACTTTATCAGTTGACTTCAGGTTTAAAGCACATCATTTTTTCATTTCTTTTTGGAAAGTGGGTTGACACCTGTGCTGCATGTTATAGATATAGACATATGAAATAAGATTTCTACCTTTGAGCAGCTCGAAATCTAGTCTGAGAAATACCTTACAGCCAGTTACAACAAAGTATGAGGAAGTTGAAGTCAGTCCAGGAACTCTGGGTATAGGTAGGGTGGAGGTCAGACTTTCTCTGTATCCAGAGAAGGCTTTTCAGGGGGAGTGACAATGAATGAATGCATCTGCTAGCTAGAAAAGTGTAGGGGGTGTTTCTTTTTCCCTAGGAAGTGTCAGGGCACATGGGTATCAACCATTAGGGTGGGCAGGAAAGATGTTCATTCTGCTCTTACCTCTCTGCTGTTCAGCCGCCTTTGTTGGATTTGAATTTCTCATTGACAGAATCCCTATATATCTGTCTCTGTGTTCTCCATTTCTTCTTATCTTTATATCCTATAGTTCATTGTACAAGGCCTTGCTGCATTTATAAATGAAATAATGAATACATATAATAATATAATGAATACAAATAATAAGTAGTTGAATCAATGAAAAAACCCTGGTGTTCCAAGTTTACTTCAGAGACTAGGAAGTAGTAATGTCATTTCATAGATGTTTCTAGAAGTTCCAGTCTCTAGGAAGAACATATTTTTGACTTTCATATGTCATTAAGTTGATGAGATCCTTAAAATGATAGATCTTTAAAATGACCAGTTTCCTAAAATGACTGAAAAACCAAGACAACAAGACAGTTAATAAGGAACTTTTTGGTGACATCTGTCATAGTGAGTGACCAAAATGCAAATGAAACAAAGTGACCATGTGATAGGTTGAACAGGTGACTGAAATGGTCACTTAGGTATCATGTGACCAAGATGGTCAATCAGCTCAAATTGTCTGGTTAATGCCCAACTTCGTAAAATGTCTCTTAGGGCACTGAAGGAAATACATGCCTCTCAGCCGATGGGGCCTGTATCAACTCTTGTGTTCTCTCTCTAGGCTGCTCTGCGGCGATTGGCTGGGGTCTGCCCTGAAGGCCTCCAGGACTCTGACTTCCAGCAGTTGGTCCAGCCTCGCCTTGTGGACTCCTTCTTACTCTGCAGCAACATGGAGGAGAGTTTTGTGTAGTGAGTGTAGGATAGGAAAGGCACTCAGTCCTCTGTACTCGGGTACCCTCTGAGCATACACCTGTGCACACCTTTGATCTCACACCAGCTCCTTATTTATATGTAACTTATTTTTACACAAGAGAAATCTATCACCATCATGAAATAGTAAGTGGTCCTTGGGAATCTTTTCTGTTTTTCTTTTTCTTTTTGACTTCTGTGGCTTTTCAGTTGCAGATGTTGAAATGCATAATAGCTAATATGACAGATTGTCATGGGTGATTTCACTTCAGCTTGTTTTCTCGGCTCTCACTATATAATCTTGCCTGATTTTTTAAAATTTTTCAACCAGAGTATTTTAACTGCCCAGCATTTTTTAAAAGTTAGACTTGTTTTTTTCCCAAGTATTTAAAATGAATTTCACAGTTGGACAGAATATACTAAAAGGAAAGGGTTTTTTTTTTCTTTAATAAAGGGAATAATGCAAAATGTGTCTTGGGTCTTTCTGATTAACTTGTATCTTTAAATTCTTGATTTCCAATGTTTCATGCATCAAACATGTTTCCATTTATTAAAAGTGCATAGAGCATTGTCTTGTTTTTATGGTTGTGTAAATGGGGCATGTTCTGAGTGATTTAATGAGAAATCAGGATGCGTTCAAAAAGTGTTTTCAGAAATACCAGAAACTCAGCTTCTTTTGGCTCCTTTGCCCTGTGTAGAACCTAAGATGAGGCTTTGTTGAATGATTCCTCTGCAGCAGGTAAGTTTGGAAGCTGGCATGTGCTGGATGGAGCTGGCTCATTAAGGGCAAGTTTTTATTCCACTTCTGTCTAGTGATCTCATGTTGGTAGCTCGAAGTTTGTGTTAGTGGGAGTATTTATTATTAATAGGCATATACTACAGTCAGGGCTTTTTAAAATTTCTTCAGAAAGCTGGTTTTCCAGTATCACTGCTTGGAAGTATCACAGATCTATGAACTCTTCTAAGAGTTTTAATGCCATTGTACTGTGATATGGTCTTCTATAATCCAGGATATATTTCTTGAGTTCCTAAGTACCTATCTAAATGAATTAACCTAATGTATCTGGTCCTGAGGTAAGTATCTAACATATTATCTTACCTATTTCTTATTATAACACGATAACTAATATAGTCAAATATATTACCATCTGTGATCATAATACTAAATCACTGGATAAAGGTCATGAGCTAGTAGTACTAGGACCTGAACTTGGCAAGATCTATTACCAGGTCCCTTACTCTGCAGTCCTACATAGAAAAGTGGTATCTAAAATAGCGATGATAATAATGGTAGAAGACAGTTGTATGGCTGTATTCACCACATTGTGCACTTGTTTTTTAATCTTCTTATATATCGACCTACGAATATACAATAATACTTAATACCATATATTATTTATTCAGTTCTTTTACTTCTCTATGAGTTAGCTATCATCCATTTCACAAATTTACTTCTTCAAGTTGCTCAAATGGCAGGTGCACACCACCAGACCCAGATATTGTGTTTTCCTAGCAGCAGGCACACACTACTGCATCCAGCCATTGGTTACGATAAGTTCTCCAACCTTTTTATTTTCCTCCTCAGGCTGGCCTTGGACCATGGTCCCTTGATTTCCAGATCTCTACTAGAATTATAGGCCTGAGGCATTATGCCTGGCTTTTTTGCTTTTTCAATTATTTTTTTTTCAATAATGTCTCATGGTTTTTACCTAGAATATCTTCAGTGTTGATCTTTCTGCTTATACCTTACCCCTCCATGTAGCTGACATCACAGGTACATATTATCATACCCAGCTCTTCTTACTTTTTTTTCCCACCAGTGCTTCTCATTTGCTAATCATCAACTCAATGATGGAATCCTTAGGAAACAACTCCTTTGTGGGATAGTAGAAGACAAGAGAAGAGAGCATATCTGAGTGTGTGTTAGCATCTGTCAGTCCTCATTTACCAACTACTCACTACTCTCATGTAAATGAGGCAAAGAGGCATCTAGAACTCAACATATACCCTCCTGACTTCACCTTTCATGTCTGTAACTGTGCCAGCTCCCAGTTATGACAGAGCAGTGTCCTCAGTGATTGCAAGTGCTAGAATCCAAAGGTTGATGGGACAATTATCACTCAATTTTAATTTCAAGGAGGAAGCATTTAAAATGGAAACTAAAGAAAATGCCCATTACTCAGCAAAAGAGACCATATTTCTTGCTTAAATTCCCATGCTCTTTGAGATCTCTGCATAGATTAAGGAGATCTTGGAACACTAGTTATTTAAAAAAAATTTTCTGTTTAGTTTTTAATAAAGAATAGACAAGGAATACCTGTCTGTGGGAGCCAAGAGTCTATTCAAAAGCACTGGGACATAAAAAGATGTCACTTCAACTTCCATTGTCAGATCCTCAGGGAGATGGTCCTGTCCTCTGAGGACCTGTAGCCTCCTCTTGTCTTGTCTGCACCTATGTTAGGCCTCAGAATAATGACCATCCCCTCAACAATGTCTTTTTGTAATACCCATAAATGCACAGCACAAAGAGATGATGTTACACCTAAAGGAAAATCTATTAATAAAAGGAAGTGAACAAGAAAAGGGAATTGGACACACAATGGACTCGGGGAAAGGTTTAAAGGGCCTTTTCAAAAATGAAATATTTTTTTCAGTAAAGCAGAACTTGTGATTCAGTTTAAAGAAGGAACAAAAGGATGATGTCAGACTCTGGATAGCATTTACAGTTATAGTCCACAAAAGATGGGAACATATCCCCTTTTCTTTCTCAGGCTGGGATAAATAGAACTTTGCAGGATGACACAAGTCAGCCTTCATTGGGGAAACTGTCAAAATTCCACTAATTTTAAAGTGGCCTTGGAGCATAGAGTGCATGCATGCCACATAGATGAGCACCTTCTGGGCTTCTGGGATGATGAGACAGGAAGTTAAAACAGAGATTCTGGAATAACGCATCTCCTCTGGGACTCAGAACAAGGGAGACTTGAAGCAGCTATTCCTGAATTCGGTGATTCTGAATGGAACCGATTCTGTTCGTCTTTACAGAATGAGAATGGCTCTTACACAACCATTTTCCCTGTAATACTTCTCATTCACACCCTTGTTCATTGGGTAACATTGCCACTGACACTCTCCATTACAGATGAGGGAATTGAGGTTTGGCCAAGTTAAGTAATATTCCCAAAAGTAAACAGCTAATTTGCATTAGGGATTATACTCACATCTTTGTCATTACAGGCTAATTAGGGAGAATGCAGGAACTTAGGACCAGACATTTACTAGAAGGTAGACAGAGCTCAAGGCCTTTGTAGAGCCATCATCCTCCAGAAAATGTAGCTATTTGCTGTTTGCTTGAGATAGAAAGGGAAAAAAAGGAGTGGGCACTGAGATTATCTCTGATTTTAGACTGGAAGGTGATGAGTTAGTGTTGGAGCGCATAAAAGCTGTGTATCATAGTAAGGAAAGCTGCAAATTGAATCCTAGCCTACCACTTACTGTGTGATCTTGAGCCTATCTCACTGTTCCTTGGTTGTCTTGTCTCTAACATGGCATGATGATAGTGGTTTTGTCAGAGTTGCTATGAGAATTAAATGTGTTAATACCTGCAAAAGGCTTAGAGTAGTGCTTAATGGCAAGTGCTCGATGAATATGGCTTCAATTCAAGTCCAACAAATGATACCTTTGCATCTGTTCAGGTTGCCTGGTTCCGCTAAGCAATGCATCAAAAGTAGACCCAGAGTTGGAAATGGAGAAGATCAGTTCTGTGAGGAATTTTCAGAGCATCTTGACTCATCTGTACATCCAATACCTAGGGGTAGAGAGACAGCTTAAAATTCATGAGCAGGGCAACGTTTGTCTAAGAATAAAAAGTTACTGTCAGTATAGCTGCCGTATTTGAGTATTCACTGTGCCCTAAAACAAGTACCTACAACAATGCTGCCCAGAGGTTATTACTTTTCCCTTTGGGGCAAAGAAAGAAACTGAGGTTCAGAGAGACTATATCTTTCCCAAGATCACACAGCTAGTATAGGGGACAGGATTGGGCCAGAGCCCAGGCACTTGGTACATTGACATTTCACTGGATTTGTGTGCAGATAACCTCAAATATCATGTGTAATCTTATTTTACAAGATCTTTAAGTAGTTGCACAAAAGGGTTTCAATTCAACATTTCAATGTATGAGTACAATGTAACTTGATCAATGCCACCCCTTTCATTGTGTGTAATCTTTTCACTAGGTCAATATTTCATTCCCAGAGAAATTCGGAGTAATTCCTAGTCAACACCAGTAAAGTATCTAAGTTAGGCATGTGTTATTCTAGTTTCAGGGTTAATCACTAAAAAAATCAAAGTGGATGTTATAAACCATTGGTTCCATTTTAAAAGCACCAACGGCCTGGCAGAGCAATTGTGCTAAAATTTCTCTTTGTTAAAGATTTCCAGGGATCCCTTTGTAGAGGTTCTATTTATGTTCATCATTTTGTTGTTACCTTCACTGTAATTTTTATTCAGATTTCTTTAAAAATTTTATTAATAAAGTTTTTTATTATGAAAATACCATACAAGAGGGTTACAATTACATGAGCAATGTAATAAGTACATTTCTTATCAAGCCTTGTTGCCTCTTCCTTTGTTTCTCCTTACCAACCCTGCCCTCCCATCTCCTCCCCCCAACTCTCCCTACCCGCCAAAGATGTAAAGTTCAGTTTTTGCCATAACGTCTTGTACATCTCATTGTTGCAATGGGTCAACCTGTATCCCTATTTAAACATTTTGTTTTCTTTTTTTAAATTTTTTTTATTGTGAAAATACTGTACAGAGGGGTTACAAT